CGTTCTTCCGAATGATCTGCTACCTCCAACCCATAGCTCACCAGCAGCCCCGGCTGGTGGAGTGCCCCTTCTACCCCCGGCCCTGTCACCACAGGTAGTTCCCTCCCCGGGAGTCCGGATAGCACATGCAGATGAATTTGACATGGTAAGCTCCCATGGTTACCAGTCCCCACCAGACTCCAGGGAGGTTTCGCCCCAACCTCCGCGACGTTCTCTTAACGATCCCTTTTGTCGCAAGGTTCAAGGGGACAAAGCCCCGGTAATGTATGTTACCTTTAACCCAACACAGGCCAGTGCCCTGATGAAGTCACTCCCTGACCCAGAAAAGCAACCTATGCCCTTTTACAGAGCAGTGGTCCAGATTCAACAGACCTATTCCGCCGCATGGCGTGATTTGCTGAGCTTCTGTGCCATTAAGGCTGGAGATGCCTACTGGCCTAGCATTGCTCGCCACCTATGCACTAATTGGTTGTCAAGTGATACTGATTATATGTCCGGAATTGAGTTTTGTGATCAGCTAAAAACTTGGGCCAAAGATAAACTTGCTGATCAGGCAGCCGGACTTAATGATATTGTCCAGGAAAAAGGTGAATCCGTAGAGAGGTTTCACGCTAGACTCTTTCAAGTATTCTCTGACCTAGGGTTTGAACTTAGCAATAAAATACATGCCCAAATGCTTTCTGGTTTCTTTGTACAGGGCATCAAAGACTCTATACGGAAAGGTATTATTGCTGCCCGCCCTGAGTATAGAGTGGTTTCCCTTGATAAGCTGCTTTTAGTTGCCAGAGGTTTGGAGGCAGCACAAGTGCCAAGAAGATCCAATCCCACCCCCCTTATGGTATCACGCCCGCCGATTCCCAGAGGCACTAGGCCTGAGGATGGAATTTGCTTTAATTGTGGGGTGAAAGGCCATTTTAGAAGTGACTGCCCTGAACCCATAAAACACCGGAGGCCATACGCTGGCAAACAAACTTCCAAGCCCGCCACTACCACGAAGGCCCCAGAAACCCCTTCACCTGATTCAGCCCAAGAAGACTAGGACACCAGCAAGCCTGTGTCATTAACCCCTGTTATGGCAGTGTCTTCAGGGGAACAAGGGGGGCCTCTAGCTACTGTAATTTTACCCATTGAGGGCCAGCCCACCACTTTCCTAGTTGACACAGGTGCAGCCCGAAGTGTTCTGAGAGAACAAGACCTGCCCGATGCCTCATTTCTTTCCAATATTGATGTCTCCTGTGTTGGGGTGGACGGCCTTCCAAGGCAAAGTCCCCTGTCCACCCCACTGCGGGTTGGTAACTGCCACAACTTGCTTGCTCGCTTTGTGGTATCTTCCACATGCCCCATTAACCTGTTAGGAGCTGATGTTCTTTCACGCCTGCAGGCATCTATCACCTTTACTCCAGATGGACAAGTGGAACTATCCACCCCTCTATCTGTCTCAGACACCTCAGCTTTGTGCTCCTTACTCCTGATGCTACATCTAGAAGAGCCTCATAGGGATGCAAAAGACCTAAGGACTAATTTCCCCGATTCACTAAAGACTGATGTTCCCAAGAAACTGTGGTCCACAGGCCCAGAGGACATAGGCCATCTAAAGGTCCCACCTGTGGTGGTAAAGCTCATCCCAGGAGCAAAATTGCCACGAAAATCACAGTATCCTTTGAAACCAGCTCAAGCTGCAGCCATTACAATTCAAATTCAAGCACTCCTGGAGAAGCGTGCTCTTGTCAAATGTGAATCACCATGCAATACTCCATTATTTCCGGTAAAGAAAAAAACTCCAAAAGGCGAACCTGAAAAGTACAGATTGGTCCAAGACCTCAGAGCGGTAAATGAAGCCACAGTTTTGGGCACTCCAATAGTGCCCAACCCACACACTCTCCTTTCCGGCGTTCCACCCTCTGCCAAGTACTTCACAGTCATTGATCTGGCCAATGCCTTCTTCAGTGTTCCCCTGGATCCAACTTGCCAATATCTGTTTGCTTTCACACATGAAAAACAACAGTACACATGGACTGTCATGCCCCAAGGGGCACAAAATTCCCCAAGTCAATTTGCGAAGGCCATGTGCTCTATCCTTGATCCATGGCAATCTGACCATCCTGAGGTCGTCCTGCTTCAATATGTGGATGATTTGCTGCTTTGTGGAGATGATCTACCCACAACAGAACAATGCTCACTTAATCTTCTTTGCTACCTAGCAGAACAAGGATTTAAAGCTTCACGTCTCAAGCTGCAATTCTGCCAACCTACTGTTATCTTCCTTGGCCATTGTCTGTCTCAGGAAACCAGACATCTTACCCGTGACCGAGTTAGAGCAGTACTGGACATTCCACCTCCAAGGACCTCGAAGTCACTACACGCCTTCCTAGGCCTCATTTCCTATTGCCGAGCATGGATCCCAGAAGCCTCGCTCCTTATGCAACCTCTTTATGGTGCTCTCAAGTCAGACCCATTTTGCTTGTCCACAGAAGCCCTTGACAACTTCTGTTCTCTCAAACGTGCTATTGCTTCTGCTCCTGCTCTTGGCCTACCAGACTATACCAAACCCTTCAAATTGTTTGTTTCTGAAAGACAAGGCCATGCAACAGGAGTACTCACTCAGGCCCATGGTCCTGGAGGCTGCCAAAGGCCTATTGGATTTTTCTCCTGCCAACTGGATGTTGTGGCCAGAGGACGTCCCTCTTGCCTTCGGGCCGTCTTTGCTGCCAGAGAGCTCATTGAAAGAACTGGAGATCTTGTCCTTGGCCACCCCCTGGTTGTCTTGGCCCCTCATGACATTTCTGCCATAGTCAACCAGGTCCAACTTAAGCATGTTACTCCTGCTAGGCATCTTCGCCTTCAATGTCACTTTTTGTTGCCTGACAACATTACCCTTCAAAGATGTCAAGTTCTCAATCCGTCCACTCTTCTGCCACTCCCTGAGGGGGGTGTATACTACGGATTCATCATGGACGAAACTTATGTTTTTCTTCTCACTGGCACCATCAAGAAGGAAATGCATCCCAACCTATCCTTTCATGATGGACAAGCACTCCTTCATGACGGAGCAAGACATGCCTTCTGTACCACGTGGTACAAACCAAACATCACTCCTCAACCCTGCTATGAAGATGAACTCTATAATCTGGTCGAAGTAAAACTCACTGCACAAGACTTCTACTGTGATTCTGAAGGCAACAGTATGGTCTTGATTCATCTACCTCCGGAACTCAAGCATTTGTACCGTCATTTAGAACACTGCCATTCCACATGTCCCTGTGACCAAGTTGAAAACAATATCATGGAATGATCTTGGGCCTATGGCAAAAGCATGGGCCACTATGGACGAATCACAGCTACAGGAAAATGGTGTTGTCAAATATCCAACAACTGACCACCTAAAGGCATGGCCACGTCATTTCCTGGAGAATGAGTTCCAAGATTTAACCATAGTGAATGACTACGACCCAGATACACCTCATAACTGTTTTGAACAGATGAAAATGGAAACAACACATCTACCAACTGTGCATGAAGACCCATTGGTAGATCCCGATCTCACCCTGTTTGTGGACGGCTCAAGATATGCTGATGAAGAAGGAAGATACCATACAGGATATGCCGTAACCACAACAGATGAAATTATCAAATCATCATCTTTACCATCAACTATGTCTGCACAAGAAGCTGAATTGCAAGCCCTGACTTCAGCATGCAAGATCTCTGAAGGAAAGCGCGCCAATATCTACACGGATTCAAGATGTGCACTGGGCGTGGCTCACGACTTCGGATTAATTTGGAAAACAAGAGGATTTCTTACCACCGCCGGTACACCAATCAAGCACGGTTCCGCAATCAAGGAGCTGATGGACGCCCTCCTACTCCCAGAAGAAGTGGCTATTTTGAAGATAAAAGCACATGGGAAGTTGGACTCAGATGAAGCAAGGGCAACCATCTAGCTGATCAGGCTGCAAAACAAGCTGCAAAAGAACCACAGGAAGTGGAAAGAAGAGTGTCCGGAAATGAAGAAACTCCCATATTTACTCTGCAGACTCTTCCAACTGACCTAAAAATCCTGCGGGAACAACAGGCTACAGTTGCCCCTGAAGAAATACAGAAGTGGAAACAGAAAGGGGCAGTTCTAAGAGATGGAGTGTATTACAACAATCTCAGATTCTGCTTTCCTAAGAATCTATACCCAGCAGTTGTTCAGTGGGCACATGGCCCTGCACACTTATCAAAAGATTTGATGATCGCCCTTGTACAGAAGTACTATGAGGCCCCTGGAATTACCACGCTAGCCAGCAATTACTGCAAGACTTGTGTCATCTGCGCCAAGTGCAATCCGGGGAAAATGGCTAAAGTCCCTCCAAAACACTTGGCCAAGCCCATGTACCCATTTCAAAGAATTCAGATAGACCACATCCAGATGCCAAAGAGTGGCAACTTTGAATATGCACTAGTAATAGTGGACATGTTCTCAGGCTGGCCAGAAGCCTACCCAGTGGTTAACATCACCGCAAAAACAACAGCAAGACGGCTACTTACAGAAATTGTATGTAGGTTTGGATTACCAGAAGTCATTGAAAGTGACCAAGGCCCAGCTTTCACAGCATCAGTAACTAAAGAGATTTGGGCCGCCCTAGGAGTGACCCTTGCCTTCCACACACCTTATCACCCACAAAGCAGTGGTAAGGTGGAGCGTATGAATGGCACCCTGAAAACTAGAATGCTAAAAATGTCGCAAGAAACAAAAATGCCCTGGCCCGAAAGCTTGCCAATAGCCCTGTTTAGTGTCAGACATACACCTAGAGGGAAGCCCTCATTGTCCCCTTACGAGATTCTATTCGGGTCAGCACCCAGGCTAGGTTGCTATTTTCCCCAGCAATTACAACTTCATACTGATGTTTTAGTAAACTATGTAACTGAACTTGCCAATGCTTTGAACAAAATCCATGCCCAAGTTTTCTCTTCAATTCCAGATCCTGATTCTGACACAGGCAACCACAGTCTGCTCTCCGGTGACTGGGTTTTGGTCAAGAAATTTGTGCGAAAACACACCCTGGAACCAAGATTTGACGGACCGTTCCAAGTTCTCCTGATCTCCCCTACCTCTGTCAAATTGGCCGGAAGGCCTAACTGGATCCACGCTTCCCATTGCAAGAAGACACCTGCCCCAGAGGAAGCTAACTCTATGCAACCATGTGCCTCTGGTACATTATCTCCTTAGTTGGCCTCCTTAAAGCCCAGCAGGTGGCCATCACCAAAGATGCTAGTGGGTACACTTTCTGGTATAATTCATCATGTACCCATGTGGCTACATTCACTTTTGATTACTGTGATATTGTAGAATGCCCATTCAAGCCATTTATAAAGATATACCACAAGCAAAAGACCCTTACGTTTGTGTAGTAGATGAACAATGGGGTTATGACTGTAACTACTGGGGGGCTGCGGGATGGAATACTGGGCCTGCCTGGGGTTATAAACCCAAAAGTGCTTTATCTAAGATAGACAATCAGGGTAGATCCCTCCTTCAAAGAATGACTTTAAGAAAGCCTGGAGGAAGTACCCCTATGAAATTAATGTTAAATATTGAACATCCTGGCCCCGAGGATGCAGACCGATATGTAATGGGAATGTATTGGAAGAAAGGTTCCTACAACAAATTAGGTCATTTCTACCTCAGAGATATGTACCACTCTCCAGAGTGGCAAGGGGCTGATCATATGGTCCCAAATCCGCTAAAACCACATATCCAGTCCTTTAAAGATATGATGGCCATCGCTAACCCCACTTTTGAAGATACCATGGCCGCTGAAACTGGATTCAATGACATTAATTTGTGGTTAGAATGGATGAGGTATAATGCCAACAAACATAATAAAACAGCATGTTATGTATGTGGCGGTGCCCGACCCCACCTTGGCACCGTCCCCCTAATTCTCCCTTTAGAGATAGAAGATTGCTTCTTAAGCCTTTTTGCCTACCAATATGACTTTAATAGGTCCCTCTGCATGGCATGGACGGCAGAGTACCCTCTCTTAGTTGAAAATGTTAAGCCACCAGATGGAATCACAGTCTATAGAGGTAATTACACTTGTTATGCCATGTATGACGGGATTGGTAAATTCATGGGTAATTTTTCTAAAGGTTATTGCGCCACTTACAGAACTGTTCCTATACGCCTGTTGCAACACCATACCAGGTCATTGGGGGATATTTACTGGTTATGTGGGGATCTACAGTTAAGATCTAGGCTGGAAACTGAGTGGTGGGGTGAGTGTACCCTGGCCAAAGTTATCATGCCCATTCATATTATTTCTGATAATCATCATGACACATACGACCCTCCACATACATCAGCCAGAGTAAGGCGCGAAACCCCAGTAAAAGGCAGTTTTGACCCCCACATTTACATAGATGCCATTGGAGTACCTAGGGGGGTACCTAATGAATTTAAAGCTAGAGATGAAGTAGCTGCAGGTTTTGAATCACTTTTTAGCATAGTCACTGCCAACAAAAACCTTAATTGGATTAATTATATCTATTACAACCAACAGCGCTTCGTGAACTACACCAGGGATGCCCTCCAGGGATTGGCCGAGCAATTACAGGCCACATCCCAAATGACCTTCCAGAACAGACTGGCCTTAGACATGATCTTAGCCGAAAAAGGGGGGGTCTGTAAAATACTTCCCGACACTATGACTTGTTGCACTTACATTCCAGAAAACACAGGTCCTAATGGTAAAGTCACTCTGGCCATAGCTAAATTAAATAGACTCTCAGAAGAGTTAAAGAGAAACTCTGGAGTTACTGATCCCTGGGAAAAATGGTTTGGTTGGATGACTGGTTGGCAGAGAGCTTTAGTCCAGATTGGTATTGCCTTACTAATTTTTCTTTTTATTCTCACTCTTCTCATTTGTTGTGTCCTCCCATGCCTAAGGAAATTCCTGCAGAAAACTGTAGACCAAGCAACACCAACCTTCACTCATCTGACAATCGATGATCAAGATCTCATCTCACCCTGTATTCCGCTACAAACTCTCCCGTATACTGATGAAGTGCAGAAAGTCTAGGAAGGGACAGTACAGGGACAGCGTCCGTCTTTATGGGTAGACTGCCGTACGGAGAAGTAGTGGATAAGCCACTATGGGTTACCAGCGGAGTGAAGAGTGTTCCTGAACCGTACTGACGGATGTGCTGCAGCCTGTTAGGGTCAAGAGAGGGATAGACTTGCACTTTGCATTAACACTAAGTCAGCGGTCATGGGGTTTCTGTGTCTTTGGGCTAACACATCTTCTGATACTAACAAATAAAGTTTTGTCTTTTAGCAAATAACATTTTAGGGGGGACTGTTGTAGAATTATTAGGCCTCTATAAATCTGTAAGGCCCCTTTAAATCCTCTTGCTATACCTCTAAGAGGCCCCATAGTTTTACAAGACAGCTTTGTCTATAGAACATAGAATTTTCATGCCAGCAAGAAATAGCTTTGATAAAATGTGTATTTACTAAAAGCCTTGAAACCTAACCTTGAGAAACTAACAGTGCCAGCTACACTCTAAATGGATAGCTGCCAAAAGGCCCCTCCCGTCGAGTGAGCTCCTCATGTTAGCAAAATGGCGCTAAAACCTGGAGGAGACAATCATGACGAGGATAGTGACTTAAGATGGTACACCCCATAGGGAGGGCATTTTACTAACATCTTAGCACCTAAGCCAATTAACAATGTCTATTTGTCTATATCTTGATTTTCTTCAATGATGTAATAATGCCTTTAAAAGGGTCTGCGCACCCATTTTATGGCAGAAGCCATTAAACTTCTCCGAAGTTCTTTCATTAACCTGAACTCTGTGTGAATTTACTTCTGCGTGCACGCAACTTTATTATCTTTAATTTGGACAGGAACAGATAGTCATTCAAACTAATTGGTTTGCAGTAAATCAACTACAACACCATGACTCCTGGGATTTGTTGGGCCCCGCCTTGATCCATGTGCCTTTACAAAACTGTATCATGTATCTTAAGTGAATTCTATGGACCACAAATATGCAGTGATACAGAGTTAAAAAGCACCCACTCTCACCAACCTCAGCACAGCACTGGTTGTATTACAGCACCTTTTCACACTTCTGGTGTGTTACAGCACCTTTTCACACTTCTGGTGTGTTACAATAAAATTAGAAATATAAAATAATAGTAATATAAAACTAAAATTTATTTTCATTTTAAGATTTTATATATATATATATATATATATATAAAACTAAAAATTATTTTCACTTTAAAATAATTTTTAGTTTTATATTACTATTATTTTATATTTATAAATAATATATGTGTGTGTGTGTGTTAGAAACTCTTCTGTAGTTAATTCAAATAAAGATACTTGTCTTTATAGACATAGGCGCACAAAGCACAAAAATCTCACCATTCAGGGGAAAAAAACTGAATGTGTAGTGGTACAGATGTCCCAGCACAGGACACAGCTAGCTCTCCTCCTACTAGTGCCCCCCCATCCCTCACTACTAGAGTCCCCCTATTCCTCACTACTAGTGTGTACCCATCCCTCACTGTGATGGGATTCCAGCATGGTCAAAATTTAGTAGGCTGAAATCTCCACATGGCATATGCTAATTAGTATCTGATTACAAACAGTTGGATGAGTCATCAGTGTACTGAGCATGTGCGGAAGTGGAGAGCACATTCCTTTGTCTCAGATGAACCATGTGGTCTGCCCATATAAGGTGATCCTGAATATCCTGTTTGCTGACTGGTCTGAGGAATATAGGAGGGGTTATACTGTATGGGAGGGGATATGCTGTTAACAAAAAGCTCCTGCAATCTGTGCTCTGGCTCTCAGATATTTTTGGAACAGGAGTTCATCTGAGACCCGATCGGTGTGAATATAGAACCTTTTTACTTCCCGAAGACCTGCCTCCATCTCTCTGTGTTTGGCTTCTGCCATTGATTACGGTAACATCACTACTAGTGTGCCCACAACTAATGTCCCCATCCCTCATTTCTAGTGTGCCCCATCTAATGTTTCCCGATCTCTCACTACTAGTGTGCCCCCATCTAATATCCCCCCATCCCTCACTACTAGCGTGCCTCCAACTAATGTCACCCATCCCTCACTACTAGTGTGCCCTTATCTAATATCCCCCAGCCCTCACTACTAGTGTGCCCCCAACTAATGTCCTCCCATCCCTCACTACTAGTGTGCCCCCAATCTAATGTCCCTCATCCCTCCCTATTAGTGTGCCCCCAGTCTAATGTCCTCCATCCCTTACTACTAGTGTGCTCCCAATCTAATGTCCCCCCCATCCCTCACTACTAGTGTGCCCCCAATCTAATGTCCCCCATCCCTCACTTCTAGTGTGCTCCCATCTAATGTCCCCCCATCCTTCACTACTAGTGTGTCCCCATCTAATGTTCCCCATCCCTCACTACTAGTGTGTCCCCCATCCCTCACTAATAGAGTCCCCCTATCTAGTCCCCCCCATTCCTCACTACTAGTGGTCCCCCATCTAATGTCCTCCCATTTCTCACTACTAGTGTGTCCCCATCTAATGTCCCCCATCTCTCACTATTAGTGTGCCCATCTAATGTCCCCCCATCTCTCACTATTAGTGTGCCCCCATCTAATGACCCCACATCTCTCACTATTAGTGTGTCCCCATGGATGCAGTGTGTGTGTGTGTGTAAAGTGGATGCAGTGTGTGTAAGTAGTGAATGCAGTGTGTGTGTGTAAAGTTAATGCAGTGTGTGTAGTGAATGCAGTGTGTGTGTGTGTAAAGTTAATGCAGTGTGTGTGTGTAAAGTTAATGCAGTGTGTGTAGTGAATGCAGTGTGTGTGTGTAAAGTTAATGCAGTGTGTAGTGAATGCAGTGTGTGTGTAAAGTTAATGCAGTATGTGTGTGTAAAGTTAATGCAATGTGTGTGTGGGGAATGCAGTGTGTGTGTGTAAAGTGGATGCAGTGTGTAGTGAATGCAGTGTGTGTGTAAAGTTAATGCAGTAAGTGTGTGTAAAGTTAATGCAGTAAGTGTGTGTAAAGTTAATGCAATGTGTGTGTGGGGAATGCAGTGTGTGTGTGGGGAATGCAGTGTGTGTGTGTAAAGTGGATGCAGTGTGTTGACTCTAGCTGTGTTGAAAGCCTCAACATGTGATGTACTGATGTACTCTGATAATTAACACAGATTATTGTATTTATTTCTTGAGCTGAACTATTTATGTACACATTGTTAATAGCAAAATTGTGAAAAAAATTTATTTTTCCATTTAAATTTATTTTTCTAAACAATCAGCCTTTATACAGAGATATAAAAAAGCCAGTGCCTATGTATAAAGGTATGGGCTTGCCTTTGACACTATATAGAAGCATATGCAAGTCTATGCCTCTATGTTCCTGTGTTCTCTAATTAATAATGAAAAGGGAGGATAAACTCCTATAAAAAAAACAAAAAACGTTTTACAGGGAAAGTAACTTGCTACCCAACAAAACAGTGGTTTTAAAAGTCACCAAGGGCAGCACTTTACATGTCCTGCACCACAGCGTAAAAATCCTTTTATTTTTAAAGGATCTAATAAACAGCTTCTTAATGTGGTATCCTTAAATAGGCAATCATACATAGGAGTATCAAATTAAGGGAGCATCAACCCAGCACCTCAATGTGCTACCCTAAGTAAGGAAACTCCACATTACTCTACCATATTAGGGGAGGAGTTATTGTTAATAAATAGCCTGTTCAAACTATGTTCTGGGCTCATACCTTTTGAACACAAGTTCAGTGTGAGACCCGATCGGTGTGTAAATAAAAGACCTGTTACTCCCTGAAGACTTGTGTCCATATCTCTATTTGTGGCTTCTGCGGTTTGTTCCTGTTATTCCTCCGGTAACAATAGCAATCCCATGTAAAAAAAATAAATAATAATAATATATATATTTAACTTTTTTAGTTGCTTAGCAGATAATTCCCTAATTTGATATATCTTACTTATGGCAATCCCAAATAAGGATACCAAATTAGGGAACTGTCTAATAAACAGCTGAAAGATCCAACTTTAGAAAAGTCCTTCCCTTAATGTTAATGTTTCAGTTGCTTAATAGAGAAGTCCCTAATTTGTTATCCTTGTGAAAACAAATTAATCCGAAAATCAATTCGTACTAAAAACTTTTATTTTCTGTAATTTCGTGTGCTGCGGAATTTGGAAGCTTCTGACAAAATTAACAATTGAATATGTCTACTGTCTATAATGTCATACAATCTCATGCTAAACTACTATCGAAAAAGTAGCCTAGAGTTAGGGTACTGAACTAATGTGAAGGTTATGAGTTGAATCCTTGCATGGTGATGCCTCTTTATACGCATTCTTTTTTTAAACGTGTATTATTCAGTTTATTTTGAGATGCTCTATATGTGTGTTTTCTTAAAGTGACTGTCACCAGACTATGCATTTTAAGTTTTGCATGCAGTCAAAATAAATCAATCATGCAGAAGGGACTATATTTTTATTTATTTTTTATAGGCTTGTCGGAATCTGACAGAACATGACAAAGGTCAGAGCATCTGCCAAGTTTTGTCATTTTACACAGCCATCACCAGTGACAGCTGTGGGAGTCAGGCAATCTCATGAGACTCGTGAGACTGGGTCTATAGAGGATCCTGTGGGAACTTCCATAGATGTTCTAGTGGGGTTTGGGGAAGGGCTTTTATTTCTTACCATCAACCATTCTAAATTGTTCTAGACAGTCCTGATTTTGGGGTCCTGTCCCCCATTTCATTTTCAACCTCAGGTGTTTTGCTTCTCTCTAATAGAAAGTTCCTTAAAAAGCATAGTGCAGGCATGTCTTAAAGTAACACTCAATATCCAAAATAAAACAAATAAGTAAATAAATCGCTGTTTAGAAACTATACTTCCAATAAAAAGTCATACATTTAATTAGGCTTTAAAAAAAAAAATTAAAAAAAATAAATTGAGGGTTTATATAAAAACAGCTCACAGATCTCTTGTATGAAGCCTATGCAAGTTTTTCCCTACTGTTCCATTCTAACCCCCGCCCAGACTTTCTGTGGCTGTCCAGTCTGTGTGTCAAGGTTTGTGTATGCGTCACTGTGTGTATCTGTGTGTGTGAATGTGCCAGTGTGTATCAGTGACCCATCTAATTATGGACATCTCCTACCCCTAATAATACTTTTTTTGTGTGTGCATTACCCTTTTACAATTGCTATTAAGTTATTGGACTTCTACAACTTTAAATGGAAGCCGAGAGATGCAAGATAAGCAGAATTGAACAGCATCCCCATCCTGAGAAAGTGTTACTGTAATCATAATTAGCACAAATTAATGAATTTATTTCTTGAACTTCACCATTTATGTACAAATTAGTCATCGCAAAACTGTGAAAAATTATATACATTTATTAGGGCTCAATAAATAAAGAAGCTGAAAATTACAGCTGAAATTTCCCAAGGGTCTAAACAGGTCTGTCCGGTGATCAGGAGGGAGGTTTCCGTGTTATATTGACTGGCACAATAAAATAGTGTGATTTGGCAGAATGGCATAAATAGCTGATCAGCTATAGTGACAGTTTAGTTATTGTAAACTAATTATTGCATATCTGTGTTTAGTACATATGCCCATTGACACTGATCTCTCGCTGACAAACATATTAACCCTCATAGCTCTATACAGTGTCCACCACATAGCAGACTCTGTGTGTGTGTGTGTGTGTGTATATATATATATATAATGTATATGTGATTGCTAAAGACATCATGCTGCTGAAATAGAATTGAACGCAGGTGGTACGCAAACACAGAAGTAAGTTAATCATTGCCCCAGAGGCCGATGGGACCGGAAGTTTATATATTTGTTTGTCCACACGGGGTGTTCTATCAAATTTCCCTACCCGTGAAAATCCCCTACCCTTGTCACTTCCGGTGAGGGGAATCAGCTGGATCCTGTGCTGCACATGTGTGCTAGCACTCCTGCTACTCCTCCACAGCCAGGTCCTGGAAGGTTAGTAACACAGCAAGGTCCTGGAAGGTAAGTAAAACTAGTTTTACACTTTCATTATAGTTAGTGCATTCACTAAGCTTAGGACATGGGACATTTAGGGTTAATGTTAGGGTTCAGATTAGGATTAGGGACTTGCTTTGATTTAGTGATATTTCACATTAGGGGAATATCTATAAATAGTGATTTTTCACACTTAGTGAATGCACTAACTATAATTAAAGTGTAAAACTAGCTTTACTTACCTTCCAGGACCTGGATGGGTTACTTACTTTCCAGAACTTGTCTGTGTTAGTTACCTTCCAGGACCTGGCTGTGTTACTTACCTTCCAGGGCCTGGCTGTGTTACTTACCTTCTAGGGCCTGGCTGTGTTACTTACCTTCCAGCTCCTGGCTGTGTTACTTACCTTCCAGCTCCTGGTTGTGTTACTAACCTTCCAGGACCTGGCTGTGTTACTTACCTTCCAGGACCTGGCTGTGTTAGTTACTTTCCAGCTCCTGGCTGTGTTACTTACCTTCCAGCTCCTGGCTGTGTTACTTACCTTCCAGCTCCTGGTTGTGTTACTAACCTTCCAGGACCTGGCTGTGTTACTTACCTTCCAGGACCTGGCTGTGTTACTTACCTTCCAGCTCCTGGCTGTGTTACTTACCTTCCAGGACCTGGCTGTGTTAGTTACTTTCCAGCTCCTGGCTGTGTTACTTACCTTCCAGGACCTGGCTGTGTTACTTACCTTCCAGGACCTGGCTGTGTTACTTACCTTCCAGGATCTTGCTGTGGAGGAGTAGCAGGAGTGCTAGCACGCATGTGCAGCACAGGAGCCAGCTGATTCCCCTCACCGGAAGTGACGATGATGGGGGGGACCCAGAACACCTGAGCAGAGCCAAACTGGAACGCAAACCGGAAGTGCTCTGGGGTGAGTGTCAGGAAGGGAAGCGGAGAGCCCGGGCCCTGCAGTGTGTGGAGGGCTGTTTTATTTTCCTTAATGCCAGAAACATGCCCTATCCGCCGCAATACGCAGGGACAGTGAGTATTTAGTATTTACTGATATCACAGTGTATGGGACTGTGTAACATTCTATTTATTAATATCAGCATGTTTGGGGCTGGGTTTAAATACACGGCAGCCCGTGTTTAGGATAAACTAAAGTACTTGTTCTTTAAATAGTCTGTGTACTCAGTGCTTTACTATAAGAGGGTATCATTCCTCCTGGTCACCCCTAATGTACCCTGAAAATACCCTCCATTCTTTATATGGAATGTGCCCTGAAAATACCCTCCATTCTTTATATGGAATGTGCCCTGAAAATACCCTCCATTCTTTATATGGAATGTGCCCTGAAAATACCCTCCATTCTTTATATGGAATGTCCCCTGAAAACACCCTCCATTCTTTATATGGAATGTCCCCTGAAAATACCCTCCATTCTTTATATGGAATGTCCCCTGAAAATACCCTCCATTCTTTATATGGAATGTACCCTGAAAATACCCTCCATTCTTTATATGGAATGTACCCTGAAAATACCCTCCATTCTTTATATGGAATGTACCCTGAAAATACCCTCCATTCTTTATATGGAATGTCCCCTGAAAATACCCTCCATTCTTTATATGGAATGTGCCCTGAAACTACCCTCCATTCTGTATATGGAATGTCCCCTGCCAATACCCTCCATTCTTTATATGGAATGTCCCCTGCCAATACCCTCCATTCTTTATATGGAATGTTCCCCTGTCATTGCCGTGCCATATCTGAGTGATATTCAACCAGTCCAAACCAAGGCTGGCGAATGATAACCTCTAAATGGACATCCTTACATATACAAAGATTCTACAAAAAAGTAACAATTATCTGCACATAAGCTCTTTGCTGAATCAATGGGACAGTACACGCTGCAATCCATTCCCAAATCACTCCTGTTCACAGACAGAAAGCATGGCACCCACTGATGTACATTTTATCTGAGACGGATATTTCGTTATTTAAGATGCACTTGTTATGACAGTTGTTCATATCACTTTATAGGGCATAGCATTTGATCACATTGTGCTGGACAAATAAAGGTATATTTGAAAATGTATTTAAAGGAACACTGTACACACATAAATCATTTAAGCTTCCTGAAGTGCTTTATGTGTCTGGAGCCAATCACATTTGTGACAATTTATAAAAATGCAGATTTAAATAGAATTCAGCACTTTAGAATTAGGGGCAGGAACACCTGCCTGACTGTAAATCAAAAAGCCAGTGAGGTGTCCTTCGGCTAGCTCCATGGAGCTAATGAAAGTGGCAGGTTTGCTGTGCTAGCAGGTACCTGCCTTTGCTACTGCTCACTGAGAAGCATTGCAAAGTGTTCACATGTACTTGCGGCTCCAGCACAGAGCCTTCTCAATGAGGACCCTCTGGTTGAAGTATTCCCCAGCACAGACTGAAGAAAAGGAGAGGGCTTGCAAGAGATCTGTTTTTAGATATACCCCTTCCACAATTAAAAAAATATATATAAATAAATGCATGCATGTTTCACTGGGGGTATATCTAATAAATAGTAATTTCAAAAATATTTTGGAGGCAATGGAGGGTTCTGTTTTTGTTTAGTTTTTTTGGTTATCAAAGAGGAGAAACTGGATTGGACCATTACCTTAGAAGGCCATGCCTCCTTCCTGATGTCGCAGGAAGTGGAAAGGCGAGCAACATAGTGGGAATCATGGCTCTAGAAAAAGGCGATTTTTAAACACTTTGTTTAGTTTTTTTAAATATGGAGGGCAGCTATATCTAACTAGGAACATGGGGCCCGATAGTGTTAGGAATACAGGTTTGTATTCTTACCGCTATAATGCACCTTTAAAGGAACACTATAGTGCCAGGAAAACAAACTCGCTTTCCTGACACTATAGGGTTAATAGGTTAAAACCCCTTTATCCACTTACCTTAATCCAGCGGCAGGCTCCATCGGAGCTGGTGACCTCTCCTCCCCCTGCCGACTTCAGCTCCCGAGTGGAGCCGAATGCGCGTGCAACCACAGCCACGGGTGCATTCAATCCCAAAGCATTATTCAAGGCTTTCCTATGGGGATCTGAAATGACTCTGGATTCCGTGAGGACGTCCAGAGTCATCTCAGTACGATTTTCTCACTGAGAATTGCGGAAGCTATGATTTCAGCTGCAGGCTTAAAACTAGGGGGACCTTCGTTGAGCCGAAGTGGTCTGGGTGCCTATAGTGGTCCTTTAAATATATCCATTCAATGGTGATTTTAATAGGTGAACCTGGCATCCACACAATATGTGGAACAGGTCCACTGAAAAACAAAGAAATGGAAGCTGCCAAAAGTATCCATTCAATGGCTTGAGTGGTCTTCATTTTATTATTTATTTATTTTAAGAATTAAAAGCCATGTCACTGTGATATAATGGCCCTCTATAGAGGTTTAGTGAGAATACCAGTGCCACTACTGTTTCTTTTCCCCTTTCTGTCACTGTAGTTATTGTCCCCATAAGTGAGGCTAGTGTGCATGTGCGGCAAATTGATGTGCTGCACCAATCAAATGCTCTTTATGTCTCTATGAACCGTATTTGACTGAGAACATAGCCTGATTCGGTGCTCATGAGGTAAGCAGAGGCGGCTCTAGACTTAATGAGGCCTCAGGGGAAACTCAAACATGAGGCCCCACTAACAAAAAAAAAGTGAAAAAAAATAGAGTTGCAATACATGCACACTGTCACATGGTGATGGTGAGAGGGGGGGAGTGATGGTGAGAGGGAGAAGGCGGTGTGAGGGGGTTGATGGTGAGGGGGGTTATGTGAGAGGGGGTGATGCTGGGGGGGGGTGATTGTGAGGGAGGAGTCACATACCTTTATTTATTCCCTAGTGTTCCGGTGGCCATCATTTCCGGTCTGCAGCTCCACAGAGCTGCAGACCATGAATCTCGCGAGATCCAATCAGAGCGTTGCAGTGGTAATCCGCAGATCTGCTCACTGCAGACCGTTGTCGGATGGCTGGTCACTGACCGAGGACCCGACACAGTCTGCCCACAGGCGGTTTAGGCGGCCGCCTAAACCACCTAATTAGAGAGCCGCCTCTGGAGGTAAGAGCCTCTAGAGGTTGTCTGGTAGACACTAGAAATTTGTTAACCCTACAATGATAGCGTTACTGTATGTTTTGTAACTTCAATATTTTAGATTGCATTTAAAACTAAAGGACCACTGCATCCCAGACCATTTGGCATGGCCTGGGTGCCTTCAGTGGCAATTTTACCAATTATTGGTTTTATCTATCAGTTACATGCAAATGATTCAGATGATTTGATAATTATCTTACTAGTGTTTTCCTGTCTATTTTTATTTTACTTTTTAATACATAGTATCCAGCTTGATGTTTTTGAATTGGCAAATTTCGCTGGTTTTACCGTGAGATCATCGAGAGTAGAAGCAGGCCGATCTCTTCTTGGTGTCCATTCGGCCTGTTTGCAACTTCAGTAAACTGGTAGGTAAAGATGTTTTCATTATGAATGTTCATAAATCACTCTGTTTATTTTTTCGAATATTTAAGTTGTTTTGTTTTTTTTCTTTTCCACTGAACGCTGTAATATCACTGATCAATTTCAAACTTCGATTCCATAGAATACATACTTTTACCTTAACTGTACTTGTAGGAAAAATGTACAGTGACAGTCTCAAACTTCTCTTTGATCCATCAGCAGGTCCTAGTCATCTTATGGTTAACACTCCCTCCCGTTGCACACAATGTTAACAATATTGTAATGTTTCTAGAAATTAAACATACAAATAATCTCCTTGATTGCAGAAGTCAATTTAGAGATAATCTATTACTCAGTCATGAACAAAAACAGAAATCAGAAGATTTTGGATCTTACCCTGGATATTATTTACCTGGTGACTGGAGAGGTGAGGGATTCTGGTAATGGCAACAGTATCTTTTGCATCATTCTTGTGGTTATACATATTTTAATTTTAAATTGAATGTACCAAAATCGAAATATCTGTGTACTTGGCAGAAAAGCAAGCCAATTTTGTGAATAATGTTAAACAAAAACATTGAAAGCACCATAACCACTAACGCTCACTGTAGTGGTGTTAGTGACAAACCTGCCCACTTAAGGGGTCAAACCCCACTCCCTGCCATGGCTACCATCTCCCAGGAGCCATAAGCCTCTCATCATGAACTTCCATTAGTGTTTCTTAGCGAAGGCCCGCAGACCCCAGGCAAGAAGTCAAACTATTCCAAAAAAGTTTGATTGCTTACAGTGTGGGGGTACCAGGACTTTCCCAGCACCCCAACTACTACAGTGGACTGCAATGGTTAGGGTGCTTACCTGAACAGTTCATTTTGGTACTTCAAGGATGGCTTTGCTTAACCTCTTCCTGACAGTACGTCCGACAAAAAACAGCCGTTAACGACCGCTGACCTACCCACTAGGCTCGCGCCAAATCGGACCCCTGGACTTACCTGGACCTGCGATCCACAGTGATCTTGGTCGGAAGAGACTGCCCGAGACCAGCAGTCCTCCTGCAGCAGCTCCGTCCACTGCGGCCCTCCAGGGTCATGTGGTCACCATTATACACATATAATGCATATATATGATTACATTATAAGTGTACTTTGAGATATATACACATATCTTAAAATACACTTATAATGTAATCATATATATGCATTATACATGTATAATATATTATAAAATGCTCTATTTTATATATATATATATATATATATATATATATACACACACACACAAAGTAAAAACGTGCGTGTGTGTGTGTGCCACACTCCAAGGACTTGAGTAGATGAAAGTAAAAAAACATAACTTTTATTTAATCCATAAAAATATCGACGTTTCTGCTTCCACAAGGAGCTTTCATCAGGGCAAACAATATACTGTGCAAACATAAGAGAATATATACCTGTAACGGATCCCCTCTACTCCGCCTGAGTATATCGGCTGTAGTTCTCCCAAATCCCAAGTGAAGCACTGATTAAAGCTCTGAGCTACCCAAACATCAGCCTAGACTTGATGAAGGGTACAACAAGATTTTTTTATTCTGGCCAGATAGCCTGCTTTTATACACATCAGGGATACAGTCAAACACTCCCACAACATGCCCATGGATTTCTTAGTCAGCATGACTAAAAATACATAACACATATAAGAAATAGAGGAACCCTCACAAATATTATATTGTTAGATAGCCCTGATCTGAGCACCCAAGTTCTCCAAATAGCACTCAGATCCATATAGTGTAGGGGAAATGCCACTGTGTTAAAATTCTCACCGGCCGCACACATGGTCCCATGCACAAAACAGTTCCAGGGCTTTTGGTGCTTTTGCCGGTCAACTTTCCGGAGCTCCTGTGGCTGCAATACGGGGTGCTCCGCCTGGCTCTTAGGTAGCGTTTGTTCCCCTTAGTCTCTGGCACTTTCCCTCCAACAAGCGCACTCCTGGCGGATTTCAAAGTGCTTCAAAACTATGAGCCAAGATGTCCGTGAACTGCACAGTCCCCTATGCCGAAAACTGTTCCATAACATTGGAGTCGAAGTCCCGCTGAGGTGATGAGGAACCCACGAAGTCCTCATGTCAAAAGTAGTTCCCTAGCGGTTGCAGCTAAGTACTGCTGGGACTATTCGTAGGTTTGGTTCAAGCGAACGGCAGCCAGAGAGCCAGCTTTTGGTTTAATTCGCATGAAGGGAAAGTGCTGAACCAGAGGCACCCAGGGCAAGCTACTAATGGCGGTTGGGGAGATTTAACTTCCAAACAGGGTCTTTGTATATGGCCCATAGTCGTTGGGCAGGAGGCCATGTTCTACACTCCTTCATGAATTTGTGGTCACTGATATATACAGATAGTAATGTAAGTAAAATCTTTAGAATAACTAAGTTTTTTTACTTACATTATTATCTGTATATATCAGTGACTTTCACTATAACGGTTTAGTTTCCTAGTACTATTCCCAGTTTAGCTAGATCTTCTGTAGGATCATTTATCGTGATGATTTTATCATCATAAATGTATCATAAGCTTAGTGGGGAAAACCCCATCTATATGAGATGTTAGTATTTCTTAATGTAATAGTGAGATCTTTAAATTGTTTACGACTATTTCTTGTGGCTAATGAAAGATCTGGAAACGTAGAAATTTCAGTAAATTTGGAATTCTGTGGCTTATTTATTCTAAAGATTTTACTTACATTATTATCTGTATATATCAGTGACTTTCACTATAACGGTTTAGTTTCCTAGTACTATTCCCAGTGTAGCTAGAAAATAATTGTTGGGATAGGTAAAAAGTTCCTGAAGTAATCTGGGATAGTAATTTCACTTTAAAGAAAATAAAGATATAGTACTTGTAACGGAGCTTCCTGTACCCCAGTTGGGTACCTCCGCTGCCAGATGCTCCTAGTGCTCACCGAGGAATCTGAGCACTCCTCCAGACACCATAAGAACTGCAGACCCCACAACCGCTGCAGCTTGGTTGGGGTCTCACCGTCTCCTATCCACCCTGGACCTACGACAAGGCTCCAGGTTCCAGTGGGTAAATCTCTCTTCCTCCAGAGAGTCAAGCAGGAATAGCTCTTACAAGAGCTCAGAGATTCCAAGGGAGTATAATGATTATATCAATCCCTTGTAGTGATATAGTCCAGGGTGGTCTCTGCTTGTGCGAACAGAGCCTGTTTGAAGTATATTAGCCAGTTCTATTGCAGGGGCCATAGTCACAGGGCCCATCTAGTCTTCCCAATATTTCAAAATACTTTTCTTATCTTAAGTCTAGGAGAGCCTTATGCCTATCCCACACATGATTAAACTCCCTTACTGTGTTAACCACTACCACTTCAGCTGGAAGGCTATCCCATGCATACACTACCCTCTCAGTAAAGTAATGCTTCCTGATATTATTTTTAAATCTTTGCACCTCTAATTTAAGACTATGTTCTCTTGTTGTGGTAGTTTTTCTTCTTTGAAATATAGTTTCCTCCTTTACTGTGTTGATTCCCTTTATGTATTTATGTGTTTCTATCATATCCCCCTGTCTCGTCTTTCCTCCAAGCTATACATGTTAAGATCCTTTAACCTTTCCTGGTAAGTCTTATCCTGAATCCATGAACCAGTTTAGTAGCCCTTCTCTGAACTCTCTCTAAGGTATCAATATCCTTCTGAAGATACGGTCTCCAGTACTACGTACAATAATACTCCAAGTGAGGTCTCACCAGTGTTCTGTACAATGGCATGAGCACTTCCCTCTTTCTACTGCTAATACCTCTCCCTATACAACCAAGCATTCTGCTAGCATTTCCTGCTGCTCTATTACATTGTCTGCCTACCTTTAAGTCATCAGAAATCATCACCTCTAAATCCCTTTCCTCAGATGTTGAGGTTAGTATGGTATCTTATATCCTATTCTGTGCCCTTGGGTTTTTACGTCCAAGGTGCATTATCTTGCATTTATCCACATTAAATGTCAGTTGCCACAGCTCTGACCATTTTTCTAGTTTACCTAAATCATTTGCCATTTGGCTTATCCCTCCTGGAACATCAGCCCTGTTGCATATCTTAGTATCATCAGCAAAAAGACATACCTTACCATCAAGACCTTCTGCAATATCACTAATTAAAATATTAAAGAGAATGGGTCCAAGTACAGATCCCTGACGTACCCCACTGGTGACCAGCCCAAGCTTTAAATATACTCCATTGACTACAACCCTCTGTTGCCTGTCATTTAGCCACTGCCTAACCCATAGAACAATATTGGAATCCAAACTTAAAGACTGCAGTTTATTGATAAGCCTTCTATGTGCAACAGTGTCAAACGCCTTACTGAAATCTGGGTAAGCAATGTCTACTGCACCACCCTACTCTATTATTTTAGTTACCCAATCAAAAAATATCAATTACATTTGTTTGGCATGATCTCCCTGAAGTAAACCCATGTTGTCTCTGATCTTGAAATCCATGTGTTCAACAATCCTATCATTTAACATTGTTTCCATCACTTTCCCCACTACTGAAGTAAGGCTTACTGGCCTATAGTTGCCCGACTCTTCTCTACTACCCTTATGGTGAATGGGTACAACATTCGCTAATTTCCAATCTTCTGGGACTACTCCTGTTAATAATGATTGGTTAAATCCGTTAATGGTTTTGCTAGTACAACACCCAAGTTCTTTTAATAACTTTGGGTGTATTCCATTGGGTCCCATTGACTTATTTGTCTTTATTTTTGACAGTTGAACTAGAACCTCTTCCTCTGTAAATTCACGTGTAATAAATTATTCATTTGTCCTTTTTCCTAACTGAGGTCCCTTTCCTTCATTTTCATCTGTAAATACTTAACAAAAATATTAATCGAGGCAGTCAGCTAGACCATTATCGTCTTCTACATACCTTCCTTCTTTTGTTTTACTTTTCTCATTTATGTATCTATAAAATGTTTTATAACCCCCTTTTTTTACTGACTGTGCTATATTCTCTTCTGTGTGTGCTTTGGTGGCTCTTATAACTTGCTTAGCCTCTTTCTGCCTAATCTTATAGATCGGTCTTCCTCACTCTGGGTTTTTTTCTGATTACTAAATGCTAACATTTTGTTTTTTACTATGCGGAGTACCACATCATATTTTATAATTTTTTTTTATTTTTTTTTATATATATAGTAAATTATATGATATGATGAAAATAATGTTCTCTTTAGAAAGACTATTTAATGGCAAAACAGTATATAATATGTGTGGGTACAGTAAATGAATAAGAGGAAAATTTACAGTTAAACACAAACACCGCAGTAATGTAAAAACCGCCCTGGTCCTTAACGGTAAGAATATTAAACGGCCTGGTCACCAAGGAGTTAAAGGAACAGTTTGACATACCTGGGTTTTGCCACTTGGTGGTCACAGCCTCCATCCTGCACAAAGCTTCTATTAGTGCTCCTGAGCTTATCTTTGTTGTGCAAGGCTAGCTCACTTGCTGAGAGTGTCAGCTGAACTCTTGTAGTAAATAAGCTTACCTTAAATAAGTTGTCAAACCGTTTGTATATAAATATTGATGTAAGGGTATTTTTCTTATAATGGCTACATTTCTAAAACTGTTTCTTTAAGATATAATATATCCTTTGTCCTTAACTGCCCATGTTTCTCCTAATACATAGGACTATGTGGTTGTGAAGACAACTGGTGGGGATGCCCCACATAGCAGGCGTCCTCTTGTGTCAGAAGAATCCTACAGTATACATAACCCCAGCACTGTGCCTTTACTTCACTCACTGACACATGACAGAAACAATGATAAGAATATTCTGGAACGGACCAATCAGATCATTCAGCTGCTGACTGGAGAGGTGAGGCTGCTGGGAATGGGACATTATAGAGTAAAACCAAGGGATGTGTCTGGATGGTGACTGTATCATTGTGTGTGTCAGGTTCCAATAAGGTGTGAGGATGTCACTGTCTATTTCTCCATGGAGGAGTGGGAGTATTTAGATGGACACAAGGATCACTACAAGGATGTGATGATTGAGAATCACCAGCCCTTCAGCTCGCTAGGTAAGAGGATGTAACGCTTTACAATATTATGAAAGGGGGGATTTAACTATAAATAGGACAAGAAAACTTACAGGAATGATAGTTTGAAGAGGACCCTGCTCAAACAAGCTTACAGTCTATAGGAGACCACAGTATACCACACAAGGCAAAATCAACCAATCATAGACATTTAGTGCAAACGGTATTCCTATAACATTACGTATTGCCGTAAATCTACTGTGCATGTTTAGCACGTCTTCTCTTAACTGATGTAGAGGAGTCTTTGATTTAGTAACCCAATTAAAATGTCCAGGTGCTCAGAAAGAATGTTATGTTTTCCAACGGCAGAATGTTTATATAAGATAGTGGAAACTAGTGTCAGGCTCTCAAACAGAAAAATAAGGTATGTTTAAAGAATGCGCGTTTAACCCTTTCAAAACATGAATATCTTCTGTTATATTCCGGCCTACTGACCATTCAGTCTTTCAAGCCATATATATAGTATATACTTTTAGCTAGTAATAAGAAATACAGAAGTAGAAAGCAGGACATTAAAAAAAAAAAAAAAAAAACGCCCTGTAACTATATATATATATATATATATAGTAAGAAAGAGATGCACTCTGTGGTCTTTTGAAGATAATCATTAGAATTTAATATCCAACATAGTTAGATGTCCGATCGATGTTTCGACCTCTTCAGGTCTTCCTCAAGATCCTGAAGAAGTCGAAACGTCGATCGGACATCTAACTATGTTGGATATTAAATTCTAATGATTATCTTCAAAAGACCACAGAGTGCATCTCTTTCTTACTTTATATTTATACCCAGCGTGGGATTGCACCAAGGCATTTGTTTGATATATACTACATGAAAGGGTGAGTGCCACTATATCTATCTATCTATGTATGTATGTATGTGTATATATGTATGTATATATATATATATATATCTATATATCTATATATCTCTATCTCTCTAGCTATGTAGGTCTGGAGGAATATTCACTAAGCATTGCATAGGTAAAACAATTTATTCTCCTTTAGAGACTTAAATATTCTTTTAAATACACACACAAACTGTGCGTATTCATTTTGTCTCTCTGTCAATCATTGTTATAAGCTCTGGCCTTTTCTATCCTTTAAAAAAAAAAAAAATACCCACACAAACAAAACCGCATTTGCACCAGTAATCCAACTTAGAAATACAAAAAGAGAAGTCCTGCGCTCACTCCCATCACTACTGGGCCGGCAGCAATGACTACAGTACACATCAGCCCCAATATATAGTAAAAACCAAAGAAAAGAAAAAGTTACCTGCGCTCTCTCCTTAATCCCTATGTATATTTAAACGAATGGAGGTTAGTTGCTCCAATGGCCATTGGAGGGAATGCCCGCCTGCCATCGTCAAGGCAGGGCCCGCTAAGCGCGTCCTAACACTGACCCTTTAGCCTGCTTCCTTGAGCTTCTGGCAAAGATATCTCTAATGAGACAGAGAGGGGTATTTTTTTTTAATATACACCCCTATATACTTATTAACCCTTAATAGAGAACACACTGTCTCATTAGAGATATCTTTTGCCAGAAGCTCAAGGAAGCAGGCTGAAGGGTCAGTGTTAGGAGCCGCTTAGGGGGGTCTGCCTTGACGCGGGCATTCCCTCCAATGGCCATTTGGGCAACTAAATGCCCTCCATTTGTCTAAATATACATAGGGATTAAGGAGAGAGCGCAGGTAACTTTTTCTTCTCTTTAATCCAACTTAGAGCCCTCCTCACAATTAACATTAAATATCTTCATAGAGGCAGAGATAATAGTTAAAATCCTCTTTCAGGTAAGTAAAATAAGTAGAAACAGCTAGGGATCGACCGATTATCGGTCTGGCCGATATTATCGGTCTGGCCGATATTATCGGCCGATATTTGGTATTTTCGGCAATATCGGTATCGGCCAATTCAGATACCGATATTGCCGATAATATATAACAGGACCGCCGGGCTTGTAATGGGTCCTGTGGGGGCCAGCAGCAAGCGCTGATTTACCTTGCATGCAGCTCCTACAGCTCTCTGTGTAAATCTCGCGAGACCCGCGGCCGCAGAGCGTTGCCACGGGTTACCATGGCAACGCTCCGCGCGGCACTAAGAGCTGCGAGATTTACACAGGGAGCTGTAGGAGCTGCATGCAAGGTAAATCAGTGCTTGCTGCTGCTGAGCCACCACTGTACTTAACAAGCCACTGGACCACCAGGGGATACTATATCCCCCTCCCTGGTAAGAAGCAGGGAGGGGGGACTAAACAAAAAATAACCAAACATTTAAATATTAAAAAAAATATTAAAATAAAAATTACACAAATTACATCACTACACACACTGCACACATACTGCATTACATACACACTACACAAACACACACTACACAAACACACACTGGGGGGGGACTAAACAAAAAAAAACATTTAAATATTAAAAAAAATATTAAAATAAAAAATTACACAAATTACATCACTACACAAACACACACACACACACAAACACACACTGCACACATACTGCATTACATACACACTACACAAACACACACTACACAAACACACACTGGGGGGGACTAAACAAAAAAAACATTTAAATATTAAAAAAAATTAAAATAAAAAATTACACAAATTACATCACTACACAAACACACACACACACAAACACATACTGCATTACATACACACTACACAAACACACACTACACAAACACACACTGGGGGGGGACTAAACAAAAAAAACATTTAAATATTAAAAAAAATATTAAAATAAAAAATTACACAAATTACATCACTACACAAACACACACACACTACACAAACACACACTGCACACATACTGCATTACATACACACACACTGCATTACATACACACTACACAGGCACACACACTGCATTACATACACACACTACACAGACAGACACTACACACACACCACAAACACACACTGCACACATACTGCATTACAGACACACACTGCACACACTACACTGCACACACACTGCATTACATACACACACTGCATTACATACACACTACACAAACACAGTACACATACTGCATTACATACACACACACTACACAGGCACACTGCATTACATACACACTACACAAACACACACTACACAAACACACACTGCACACATACTGCATTACAGACACACACTGCACACACTACACTGCACACACACTGCATTACATACACACTACACAAACACAGTACACATACTGCATTACATACACACTACACAGACACACACACTGCATTACATACACACTACACAGACACACACTACACAAACACACACTGCATTACATACATACACACTACACAAACACACACACTGCATTACATACACACAAAAACACACTGCATTATACACACACACTACATAAACACACTGCATTATATACACACTACACACACTGCATTATATACACACACTCTGCATCCACTACACACACACACACACTACACAAACACACACAGTTCCCCTGTCTAAACACACTTTATCCACTACATGTGGCATGTATATTTTGTGCATTTACCTTTCGAATTAGTTTATTTATTCAAAATAGTAAATGTACAGAATATCGGCAAGATATCGGCTATCGGCCTGAAAGTTCGCAGATTATCGGTATCGGTATCGGCTCTAAAAAATCAATATCGGTCGATCCCTAGAAACAGCAACAACATTTGTCCTCCTTTCCTCCAGTGCAATGTGTGCCCTGGCTGTGCTAGGACTGTACTGGATTGTGATGTAAATTGCTAAAGCTTTAAAGGAACACTATAGTTACCTAAATTACTTTAGCTAAATAAAGCAGTTTTAGTGTATAGATCATTCCCCTGCAATTTCACTGCTCAATTCACTGTCATTTAGGAGTTAAATCCCTTTGTTTCTGTTTATGCAGCCCTAGCCACACCTCCCCTGGCTATGATTGACAGAGCCTGCATGAAGAAAAAAAAAAAAACGGTTTCACTTTCAGACACATGTAATTTACCTTAAATAATTGTATCTCAATCTCTAAATTGAACTTTAATCACATACAGGAGGCTCTTGCAGGGTCTAGCAAGCTATTAACATAGCAGGGGATAAGAAAATCTTAATTAAACAGAACTTCCAATAAAGACAGCCTAAATAGGGCTCTCTTTACATGAAGTGTTTATGGAAGGCTGTGCAAGTCACATGCAGGGAGTGTGGGGATATTTATGGGATAATAATAGTAACAGTGAGAATTGCCCACTAATTCAATTCTCAGATCCCAAAGAACGTTTATCGTGTTAAGTGGAATGTATTTCATATAATTAATATCACAATGTATAAAAATAGATTTTATTTATGATAACCAATAATTAACAAATAATATTATGTAACATGCATGACAATAATCAAGGAATATTCAGTATAAAACGATATGCAATACAAAGAAATGGGTATTACGTTTCAATGGCTAAACGGCATTATCTGTCAAGAATTCTGACAATTTATGAGGTATCCTTAACACAGACTTAAGTGAAACTTTTCACAGCGAAGAACAGAATTCATCAGAGTGCAGCGTAAGGTCGTAAAGTTTAGCAGACAGTTAGAATAACTCTTTCAATGCTGGCTAGATCTCCTAGGTAGTTAAGATCTATTCTTATGTAATTTTTAAATAAAATAACATTTAAACCAGTTCATTAGTCATTTCCTGAAAATCATCCAATAAGAGAATCTAATATATTATATAAGCAGATTTTTAATTTGTCTAAAAGATATCTATCTTAATTTAGAGCAAATCAATACACCTGGATAAAAACAGCGGTATGCTAACACGTGATAATATCACATCAATATATAATTATTCTTAATTCCACCTGCAGAATGGAATGTTTATAACTATATATTCTTAGTTAACTAAGATTTCTTAATATGGAAATCTGACCGTGCTTTATCCAGTCATATATAATGCTATTAATACATTTTAATTAATTTAATTAAATTAAATGAAACCAGTATAATTACCAGTTGAGTAGATATTTCATCCGATTGGTAGTCTCAGGAACTTATTTGGATGTCTCTCTCTGCATGGAGGTTGGAGTCCCCAAACTTCCAATTCCTCTCTCCTCTCCTTTGCCTATGTCCTGCATCTGCCTCTTTTTGGATCTGCCTTTTGTCTTAACTTTTAAAGGGCCAGACTCTCTGTACGTCATCAGTTGATAACCCAATAGAAGCACTAGAGGTGTGGTTATCTTCCAGATCGCAAATTAGTTATTTGGTCTATAGAGGGCAGTCTTGTCCCACTAAACATACCTATCCAGGAAAGAGTTAACTTTTCCTGGTGGCTATTTTGACGTCATTTTGCGTTATCTTTATAGCGCCATAATTTAAAATTTCAAAGGGTTTCTTAAATTTTGTCCAGACTATGTGTCTGCAAATCTGCTATAATTTCTGATATGACAGATCATGAACTAAGTTTACCCTTTTCCATACAATGGTACCTTATATGTATATAGACAGTTAAATTTTATTATTTAATCTTCTCTGTCACAATTGTCTGGGTTTAGATTTGATTATATTCTTCTTATCACTTGTTTATACTATGCTATACATTCCTTAGCTCTGGCAAAGAGGCCAGTCTTACAGAAAGAAATCTAGTGTCTTCTTTGTTAACTTGAAATAACAAAATGGAGTCTGGTCTGTTCAGAGTGACTCAGAATATACACTTTTAGTTTCTATCATAGCACAAAATGTCTGCCGATATAAATACCCTGACAGGAGGTGTGACTAGGGTTCATAAACAAAGGGATTTAACTCCTAAATGGCAGAGGATTGAGCAGTAAGGCTGCAGGGGCATGCTTTATACACCAAAACTGCTTCATTAAGCTAAAGTTGTTCAGGTGACTATAGTGTCCCTTTAATAAACATTTGAAAAAACTAGAGCATCATGCAAGGAAACAAGTTGTAGATACTTTTTCCTGGCATATGACAATATACAGTGACCATATACTTTCCCATGGGAAAAGCGGTCTGCAAGAGATAAATTAAACAAAAAAATCCCCTCCCACTTACTATATAAAGTAACTCCCCAGGCAATTCCCCTTTAGTTCTTCCTTGTCTCTGCACGAGACGGTACAAGGAAGAAGGGGATTTGACCCGATAGCTCCAGGTGAAGAGCTAACTGGCCTGGCTCCAAATTATTAAGGTTACAGAGTAAATTCAGAAGAAACCTTTAAAGCTGAGTGTCGATACAGACAAGCAGGAAGACTCAGTCCCGAGTGGCGCAACTATCAGACCTTGAGCCTGCGCATAGGGGTGTAATGAATGCCCTGAAAGGCCATGCGTTGCGCAGAAGTTCTGCCACTGCACGTGCGCAAATCGGAACTTGAAAATGTTGGCTTGAATTTCAAATTCTGAAGGTATTTAAAGCTATGCAGATCCTCCTGACAGCATGGACGCTAATCAATGTGCATCTCCCGTATCATCAGTCCTCCACACGGGTCAGAGGTTTTTAAAATGAGAGTAATAGTTAACCTCTAATTTAAAAAAATGCAACTCTGTTTTTAACAAAAAGCAGACTTTATGGCCATCCTAGATCTCAAAGACGCTT